TAAAAAGTTTTAAAACCTCAGTTAAATAAGTTTTACCTTAGAAAGTTAACTAATTTCATCAGTTAAACTTGCTCGAATTACACATAAACATAGTTACATACCTACACACAAAGCAAACAATATATATAATGATACACATATTAAATTTAAAGCAAATTGACCAATATGCCCTTGCACTGTTTCTTTATGAAATTAAAGTTGCTCGAATTTTCTATAAACACATAGTTTCATGCGTACACATAGTTTCATGTGTACACATTAAAAAAAACAGCATGGAATGATGTCAAAACAGCATAGCAAATAGACGAATATGCCCCTGCACATATAAACGCAGTTACTGTGCTGCCATTATTGACCATCTGCACATAGCATGATGTCAAAACTGGAATGATAACTCTCCATGCTTTATGTATTTACATCCGTCTACTAAAGTTGTGAGTCTGGTGTCTGTTATGTTAGTGCAACCCTGTAGACCTAATTCTTCCAATTTGTGATAGCTTTTTGAGAGGGATTTTAGTAGGGTAGCAAGGTGTAACTAACAAAGGACTTCAATTTCAGCTAATCCTATCGTGTCATGCATAGTTTTCAAAAGAATCTATCTACTCACGACAAGGGCAGTTTCTTAATGAAACAATGTTTGTTTGGAATGAGTTCATAACTAACAGATTATGGACATTTATGCCCTTGGTTCCATTTTTCACAGATTCCAGACAAATTTATTATCATTATGGATCAAGCATATTTTGCATCAATTAATAGATTTTTAACTAATAGGTGGTATATTTTGAAATAACAATGTACTTTTCCCATCTGTTTTGTATGGTCTTGTTGAAGTCGTGAAAGAAGTCTTGTCAATTTTAAGAAGCGTTTCAGTGGGTAAGTAGTGGACACATGTGAAAAAGGGGAAACAAAAATACAAAGGTCAACAAAACATGCAGATTAAAGATGGAAACCATCATTACATCAAAACCATCAACAAAACTTCGCTAATTTACTCAATAACATTTAATTAAGCAATAAAATTAAGCACATTTAATTAAGCACATTTAATTAAGCAATAAAATTGAGTACATACATGATTGAACAACATCTAAACCTAATTATTCCTGTCATTATTTTGTTAACAACCAATATGAATGAACCCACAAATATAGACAAAAGGTTGCAGGAAAATGGAGTAAAACCCATCACTACAGAAAACATAAACCTATCAAATTCAAATGAAGGTATAATAGAACAAGCATTAACAAACTACGTTGAGGGTTAAGAGATCAATTACTTTTGCACTGATCAATCCATTAACAAACCCCCAAGATCAAGATTCAAGAACCAAACCAGATAATTTCAAGACCAATATATATGTAGTTACAGTAAAGCGAGAAGAATATCGAAGCAACAACAAAACACTAGACATGAAGTATAATGAAATATGCTAAATTCTTTCAAGCTGTGTCGACCAGATTCATGAAACAGCTTAAACTTAACAAAAGTAACATTATCATAACATGCAGTTTACTTGATAAAACAACTTCAAATACCCATAGTTTCCGAAGACTCGACTCGACTCGAATTTTGATGCGTACCTCATCAAATCCGTAAATGGCCGCTTCCCTGGTGTTTTCGTCAATACGATGTTGTAGTTCAACAAAAAGTAATCAGACAAAAACGTCCAAACCGCAAACTCCGGTTGAAATCACTGTCAGATTAGACTGGAAATTAGGGTTTCGGCGAAGAAGGGGTAGGAAAAAAAATTTGGACCATTTCTCGATTTGTGCGTGTCATCCTTGCGCAGGGGCCATGCTAATCTTCTCTGTATCGTTCCAATTTTATCGGATGTCCCCGAAGGGACGATAATGCTTGCAGAGCTTCACTATATAAACGACAATCAGGTTCTTCACCTGGTCGATATGGGATGACGCGAGTTCAAAACTAACTATAGATTATTACTATTCCTGCTTTTGTATTTTCACCGATCAAATAAAGTGTTACTTTTATATTTACAAATTTATATAATTACAAAATGAATAGCTTTTCTTAAATATATAAATATATCTTTAATTTTCTTTTTTAAATAACTTAAATTTTATTATTGAATTCTAACCTATATCTTTATTTTATTTTTGTTTTATATAATTTGTTAAATTTATGTTATTGAAATATTAAAACCATATTTTACAAAATATATAATTATAAATATTTTACTGACACATGGGTATTAAAAGTAACAGCATATATTTGTTAATTTATTATTAATATTCATTGATAATTAACACTAATAAAAATTTCAATTAATGTATTTTGTTAAATAATAAGAAGATATATATGACATGATATATACATAAACAACTCTTAGAAGCGATCTATCCATTTGTTGATACATAATTAAAGCATTCAACAAGAAATCTTTTAATATTATGATGAGAATAAAGTACAAAAATATAACCAACTTAAAAACTCAAATACGATAGACATAAATTAGGGATGTTAAAGATTAAGTTTGAAAATTGTTTATTGATTGTCATAATCTTTTTATTGGCTTTGACATAAACACGTCTTATATCACCCATCGTTATAATTTATTTATAACTTTCGACTTAAACCTATTTTAGAGGATTAATGTTCAACTCACTAGATGTAGGAACCAATGTGTTAAACATGAGATAGCATTGGTTTTGAATTACGATGTGTTTTATATTTACCTACTACTTGTTTTAATTAAATTAAAGATGCATAAAGTTCATGCTTGAAATAATGTACTTAGTTTTCAAATGATGTAAGAAATTTTATGGCATATTTACAAAAGTGGTCATTAGGAACGAAATCATGACCCAAAATGACCAAAATTTTCATGTTTGAAAAAGGACAGCGAATTTTGGAACATCTTGTTTTGGACTCTTTCTTTTTGTATCGACGGTGACATAAAATAATTTGGAAAATGACATGTCAGGTGAAGGTACATCATGAATTGTCCTTTATTTTGAATTAATATTTCACACAAATTAATTTATGCCAGATTTAAGGCATAATCATAAGTTGCATCTCAATATATCATTCTATTAATGAAAGAAAAAAAATCACCATTGGTCCATATGGAGTTACAACCAATACCAACCACTCCTTGAATGGTGACAGTGAACAACTTTGTCTAGGGTTTATAATAATATTTACGATGGTAAATCCAGATATATAAGTCTTAGACACGCTTGTATGAAACAAATAATTTCTGATGAAATTATTATTGTTGTTTATATACGCTCTTGTAGAAATTTAACAAATATGTTTACAAAAGGTCTTTTCAAAAAACATGATCTTTGGTACTACAAGATATATATATATATATATATATATATATATATATATATATATATATATATATATATATATATATATATATATATATATATAAACCCATTTTTCACTTAGACTTATATCTATTTAAAGGTTCAATGTTGTAAACACAAGTTATTGATCACTAATTTGGACATTAGTTTGTAAACTAATGAGTAATCATTTGAGTGTAAGCTATATACTCTTAATGAAGTACTCATTTGGTAATTAAACGGGTTTCACCTATGGAGACACCAAGAGTGGTGTCGCTCTAGCATGAGCAAATGTTTACTTTGCTTTGGTAGGTGTCCATGAAATTGGGACTAAAGCATGACCATAAAAGTGCACCCTTGTTCATGAACATGGATTGACTAGTCATGTATGTTATTTCTTGGAATCTAACTTATAGAATCATTGCTTAAATGTTTTAAGCTACCATTGATTTTGTTAGGCTTCTTGAAAAGTATGCACTAGTTGATGTTCAAAGCGAAAGCTACCTTAATCTAAGCTTAATTAGTCGTATGCTGGTGATAAATCATAAGAGGGGGATATAGTATTTATCACATAATTTGAAGTGCGGTTGTTATCTTGTTTTATCAATGAGTTCCACATATGTATGTAAAGAAAGCTTTTGTGAGTTTTATTAGTTCAAGTCTCATTCAAATAGTTGAAAAGTAATTTTGTTCTAGAGTTTTTTTAAAGAAGAAAAAGGGAGGACATGAGAGAAAATGAGTGTTCTTGAATTGTTTTTTTAAGGAGGGGGAAGGGAAGGAAATGAGAGGAAATATGTGTTCTTGATTTGTTTAAGAAGGGGATGAGAATGAAAGGAAAGGAAAGAAAAGGAAGGATGTTCTCAAGTTTCATTTAAGAAAAGAAAGGGAAAGAAATAAAGAGATTGGGAAGGGCAGAAAAAACTTATTCTTTAAGATTTCTTTCATTTTATTTTTGGGATGATTGCAGGGAAATGGAGAGGAGGAAAAAAAAAGTTAGGAGAATGAAAGGAAAGGTTAGTATTCCTTCATTCCTTTCCTTTCTAAAAAAACTAGAGAAGAGGGTCTAAGGGTCTTGGCAATTGCTATATAGTTGTGGGATTATACTATTAATCAAAGACTAGCATTTAAAAAACTATTCATTTTTTGTCCTAGAATTTAACGGACAACTAATTTTCTATTAAATTTGGGTTGACAATTTTCCAGTTAGTTTTGGAGGGAAAACCGGATTGTGGTTTTTTTGGTTAACTATGAACCATTGCAACTTTTGGAACTTGTGCTATAAATACATGACTAATGCCTTCATTTTCGTTTATTATTGTTCCATCTTCTTCACAAATGAATGCATTTTGTCATGTTTATTAGAGAAGAGTGTAGGATCATTGCCTACATCTTCTAGATTCAAGGAGGTCCTTGGAGGGTTTTAGAACCTATCAACGAAATAATGGAAGCTAATTATCCTTAAGAACCCAACAACGATGTAGTGTAAGCTAATTATCCTTAAGGATAGTGTTTTTCACACGTCCTTGATTGTGTTTAGTTATTTCCAACTAATTGCATAAACGGGATAAACTAAATTTGCTTTTTTGTTTCCTTTTAAAAATAACCCGTAAAAAAATAAATTACAAGGCAACGAGCAATCAACTTAAAGAGAATATATATACTTATAAAGTGTTACGTCACTCATATAGAAGCAAGAAGAAAAGGGAAAAGCCAACTGATTCTTGTTTCATAAAAGCTCTAGATGTCCTACTACTGTAGGGTAAAATGGTAAAATAAACAAATATTTAGGAAAACCGATTTCAAAAACTAAACCCAAGAACCAGAATCAACTACCTTCAATGACCTTGTTGGTTGTTATAATAGGCTCCTCTTTCATGTCGGTTGTACCTTTGGGTACAAGTTTTGCAAGCATGTCATGCCACTCTGTTGGGATGTCAGAAGCACTGGCAGTAAAAGCTAGCATCATCTCTTCTTCCTTTGGGTCACAATTCAGATCCAATTCTTGACCTTTATTGCTACTCTCGCTAATCACCTCGGTTCCAATTCCAGTTCCGGTTCCAATTCCAATTCCAATCCCTTCGCCTGATTCCATTCCGATGTTAACCGGAACGGCTGATTTCCGGGCCTGATCGGATTCCTGTTCCAATAGGCGTTTCCGCTTACGTAACATTAGGGTTTTGAAACGCCGCCTTACTGTGGAACAGACATTGCAAATGCAGTTTGGTTTGTGGTTTCCTTTTCCACTTGGGGGTTGAATGCATACGATGCAACTGCAACCGGGTCGATGTCGCGGGTGTCTTGTGGTGGCGCACGCTTCATTAGGGTTTGCTCCTAATACTGCAACCGTGGCTAACGCGTCCAATCCGGTAGGCTCTACTTTCGGTTCTTGGGTCCCACAATTTTCCGCAACTTTTCGCTTCTTAGATTCTGTAAAAGAATAAGTAAAAATCAAAAGTTTCAAAGATTAGGATATAGTGTTTGTTATAAATAAGCTTTCTAGGGTTGTATTTGCAATTTTTGACCTATTTGGTCCGGTGCATGCCAAACACAGTACAATTTGTTTTGTCATGTCATGTACAGTGTAAAAGAGTAGTAGGATTTGTACCCTTGCCAAATCTCAAGATTCGGTTCAAATCTCCTCTCTCCTCAGGGGCTGAACAGGAACACCTGGAACACATATTATCCATTGTTGGAATCCATAGATGATATTTAAAAAATTAAAAGGACAAATAAGATAGATACATACCTGTTTGGATCAGAAACATTATCAGAGCATGTCCATTTGGAAGGAATAAGAACATCTGAAGGTAGCTTTCTCCATTTGGAGCAACTATCACACTGAACCCATTGTTCTTGTAGCCTAGAGAACGATTATGATTAATTAATTCCAAAAAGAAATATATATATATTATATACTTAAAAAGATGGGTAAATTGCTTATTTATGCAAGATGAAGTTAAACTTGTTAACCAATTTATTCAACAAAGTGGCTCTTATGCAACCATTTTTAATTTAATAACAATTTAAGCATTATTTTACCAATTTGGTTGTAAAAATTGGTAACAAGTAAAAATACATAAATTGGTCAGAAATCTACTCAGCTGCATAAACTGGTGAAAAAGGGTAACTTTGTTGCATAACTAATACACCATTCTTTACAGAAAAACTGTTAAATGTTGACTTTGGGAGTCAAATGTGTTACTTTGAACGTCAATTTTGACTTTGGGAGTCAAATGCTAACCATATTTTATACCATGCTTGTTAATAGTTTTCAACTGCTCTAAATAATAAAAGAACACGTTACCGGGATGCATTTGTTGTGAATATGGTCTTCTTGCCAAAAACTGGTGGCTCCTGAATGAAGCCACACACCATTAACCCAAAACATAAAACAGCTGAAAAATCTAAAAAGGTTAAAAGAAAGAAATAGCAACGTACTTTCATTGATTTGTTTATTACAGCATCATACTTTTATTTCTTCCTATTACAACTTTAAACTTTAAAAAAAATGCACCCGATTATAGCAATATCATCCAAATACAAGGCAATTTTCGCTCCTATAACTGGATAGATTTTTCAAAGCATAATGTCCTAACAAGAAAAAAAATGAAATACAATTTTCTAATAAAAATAAATGAAAGTAGAATGCTATAATACACAAATAAATGAAAGTACATTGCTATTTCTTGCATTTACCCCGATCTAAAATACGACTTTATGTGAAATACTTACATTGTATTCTTCCAATTCACAATTTTCTATCATGACAACTGTTGGGTTAATAGAAGGAGGTGGCCTGAGGAATTCCTGCATTTCTTCCCATGTAAACTTGAGCTCCATTGCATCTTCACAATGCATGTGCAGCCTCTTGCTTTTTGACCCTATATTTCGTGCCTTCTTTTTCTCATGAATCACTTCCTGCTCGATATTCTTTGCCAAAAAAAAAGGTAAATTTCAATAAGCAAAAGTGAAGTAAAACGAACAGAAAGATCCTTTTCAAATGAAAGTATGATGCTACAAGAGACCAAAAATGAAAAAAGGACTAGTGTAAGCACTTACTGTTGATAAGTTTTCATTCCCTGTAGATATAAGAGCTCCATCATTAACAGTATTAGGAATAGCTATTGATTCAGCATAAATTGGTGCCTTTCGAAATCCTATTATGAGTTTATCATCTGGTTCTAACCGACTAAATATCACTACAAAAAATTAAATTAAATTAATGAGAATAATGAATATCTGTAATTGCATAAAGATAATAATAAATTAACTATAGAATACAGATAACTGAAAAAGGATACCAGTGTCGCCAGCTTGCAATTGCATGTTTTGTATGCAGGGGGTTACGCCCTCTAAAACATACATTCGACTGTTGTTATTGGGCCAAAATCTGAACTGAAATGTCCACTCTTTCCCTTTTATATCCCGGATCTTTATCGGTAAACCTTCCGATTGATCTATAGCCGGAAAATACGCCTGCAACAACATTTCATTATCAGTAACTTTGAGCTTACAATACAATCAGATAATAGAAATTTAAGGAAAAATTAAAAGAAGAATCAAGAATGTAAACCCACTTCAGCACATGCTTTTGGTAGAACCAAGCGACCAATTCGACCAGCATCACTTGCACTCAGAACCTTCTCGAATAACGGAGTAACAGTGCAGTTTGAATTCAAGCTAACACAATCTCATTAAGGAAACAAAAAAATACTTCTTTTTTACATATCTCCACACAAGAATCTTCAGAGACCTCGTTTGTTACACTGGGATTGATGTCAATGGGACAAGAATTGCAATCTTTTTGTCCTCCCACCCGAAAAGGTTGAACGAGGTGAGACATAGACTTGCTCTCGATCTCTCGTTTGTCAAAAGACGAAAACGCCCTCCTCGTCCGCATCATCAAAAAAAAAACCCTAGAAAACTTGTCTAGTCCCGTTCCATCCCATCAATTTATGTGTAACAAACGCACTGCGTTTGTTACACATTTCATGATGGAACAGGACTGCACAGGCTTTCTAGGGCTTTTTTTATGATAGGGACGAGGAGGGTGTTTTCGTCTTTTGACAAATGAGAGATCGGGAGCGATTCTATCTCTCACCTCGTTCCACCTTTTTGGGTGGGGCAAAAAGATTGCAATTCTTGTCCCATTAACATCAATGCATGTATGTATGTGTGAATATTAAGAATATTAAGAAAGGATACTCTCCAGATATTTGCAAAAGTTCTTGGTCAGTGATCTTTGGCCAGTACCTCGGAAGCAACTGACCGCGTCCCCGTCCTTCAGCCGGTGGTCTAGCAACTAGATTATCCGCACCCATCCCCCCTTTGTTTGGCTGTGACTTTACACTAACCCCTGATTTTGATGGTTTTGGACGAGGTTTTTGCTCTTGTTTCACCAAACCAACTTTTTCTTGTACTGCAGCCCCATTATAAGTAGGGAGTATGGAACTAATGGAAGAACTCAAAGCAAACCCCAAAGATTGTTCATATGTCGATTTCAACCCTAAATTTGGTTTGTTGTTATCAGGTAATTGGGTTGGAAAGATGGAAGGCAAAGTTAATGGTTTCAGAAAGCTTGAGCCAACATCTTTACTAGAAGAGGGTGTCTTTTCATCTTGTCTAAATTGAAGACCAATGGTTGAAGTGGAAGATGTGTGTTGATGCTTCTCTAACCCTTCCCTTGTTAACTGTGTGAGCTTTCCTTTATCAAAGATGGAGGGTTGCCAGGTGGCAGAAAACCGAGCAAAGCCATTTGGAATCTCGTTAACAATCGACTGAAAGATTTGAGACATCAAGTACAAAACTTTAGATTTTCACAAATTGGGTTCATTTGGGTTAAATCGTATCTTCAAGGGGTCAAATAGGTAAACTTTAGAAACTTAAAGGTGTTTCAGATGTTTAGAGAACATCATATTGTTGCAAACTGGCAGAAGATGTTATTGTGTTTGATATTTATATAATGTGTATCAATGCATGATAATTTAGGTTGTTGAAGAAAAGATTACCTGCTTTATGGGTTGGATTGCCTTGGCTCTTAAGCATTTTATACACAATATCCCTCCCAAATCAAGGCATTCATGAAGATATTTTGAAACAACGCATCCACAATGAACAGGCTACAATGAAAGAATTGGTGAGTAGAACAGATAATCAGTATGTAGGCTTATAGATTTCAAGAATTGTGGAATCTGAAATTACCTTATCACAAGAATTGCATTCTCTCCAACCAGGTTCATTAAGGTGGAAACGTTCACAGTAGCGTACGTTATCATATGCAGTGCTGTACTCCACATAGATCACATCAAAGAAAAATATAATCCACAAACAATTGATGTAAACAAAACCAGATGTATAAATGAATAGACAAAGACCATAGGGACAACTTCTTGATACAAGATTAGACCATGTTATAAATCTCATGTCATTATATACCTTAACCCAAACAAAATCATTTTTTTATTATCTATAGAAATTATGATTGTATAAAGATAAAGATCAACAAGAACATAGTCTTGATCCAAAGTATTTGTCATAGGGCATCAATACAAGCAAGAAAAGATAAGAAAATGTCCACCTTCAGATATGAATCATGAACGTAAATACAATTATGAAAACTATATTGGGGTGATTTTCGGCGAAAATTATTGCAAAAATGAGTAATTTTGGACATTATTGAAAATGTGAATGCAGAAACAACAATCTTTTTGGCATCTTTTGTTAGAAATGGATTTCGTATCATTTTGCAAGAAAGATGATTTGTTTGCAACGTAGAACAAGTTCAATGCTTTGAAAAGTGAGCTCAGTTCTTTATTAGGGATTTTTAACATCTGAATTCCTTCATGACTGTGAATTATGTCAACACCTGTACATAACGCTGATCGTATAAATTTGGGAAAAGGTGAAGGGTAAAATTGGGATAAAAAGTGCATACCCGCAGGCGCAGCAGAGAGTAGCAAAACCGCCGGCTTTCATGGGCCAACCTCTCTTCCATTGAGAAGTCGTCGTTGCCCCGCACAATCCGTTCATGCAGATCCTCGCCGCCGACGACATTTGACCCTCAAATATCTCTAATCCAAATCTCCAGATCTTCTTCTAATATCTATCCATGCAAAAACCCCAATTTAAAACCCTAATAAAATTCATCAATCGGGAAAAAAATCCCAATTCCCTTGACAACAAATATATCACAAAAAGCACTGAAAACCATCGAAGTTCCAAAACCGGAGCTGATCGACTAAATAAAAATGCACCCTTTCATACACGCACACACATAATAGTAACAGATTCTGAAAGACCTACTGTGAATTTGACGGTTGCTTGATGAACTATAGAGAGAAACAATTTGAGTTGGTAGAGGCATGCACAAAATGCATGCACGACAGTTTGATGAAAGAAGGCTTGGGATGAACTTGATCAGGGGAAAAGACTTCTACAGTAATTTAAAATTGGGGGTTTGTTGTAATTGAATGTTCATGGCAATTCATGAAGTATTCAAATTCATGGCATGTTATTATTATAAGAGCAAGCGAGGATTTCGTGGATTTTTATGAAACTTTTCTTTTCCATCTTTCGTATTAATTTCATTTGATGAGTTAGAATAATAAATACATACAATCTATATTATAATAAAAGAATAGTTTTTTTTTTGTCACTCTGATACAAATTTTAATTAATATTAACTCTGATACAAATTTTAATTAATATTATGTCATGTGTCACTTTATTCTTTCTCAATTTTAAATTTGCCCCCAATAAATCAACAATAAATATAGCTGATGAAAGGGATAATGACTTAAAAGGGTAATATATTTTTCGATTTGTACACATTTGGTCACTGAGTTTTTTTTTCGTCTACATTTACCCCTTCAACTTGTTAAACTGTATACATTCAGTCCTTATGACCGGCTACTCCAGGTTACCCGGTAAAAATGACTTAATAGGGTAATATATTTCTCACTTTGTACACATTTAGTCATTAATATTTTTGTACACATTTAGTCTTCTTGTTTTTTTTTTTTTTTTGCAAAATAAGTCATTTTTTTGTACTCATTCAGTACTTATGAATGGTTTTTTAGTTTTTTCTCACAAAATCTTACGTGGGGCATTCATTAATGATGTGTATGGGGCTTTTGATGCTTATATCCATCGCGATCTCGACTACTTGGTTGCTTAGGTCATGTGTTCTGAACGTCATAACTTCTTCATATGATCTTAGATTTTAACGATCTTTATATCCATGTGTTCGTATTTTAGTCTGCTACAACTTTCATTTAGATTACTCCCATTAAAAAATAATATATTTTTACTTACGATTTTTATATCTATACGCGGTGGCGGATTTAGTATGGTCCCGGTGTTGCACCGACAACACCTTTTTTTCCGTTCGCAGTGGAAAATTTTTCGCTTTATTTTTTACGTTTATACCTATTTTCCATGTATCGGCAACACCTATTTCATCTCGGCAACACCTACTATGTATTACTGCGTCTTCCCCTGTCCATACGTTTTTTATGAATGCATGTATGTATGTTTTTTTTATAAAATCGTTAGTAAAAATATATTACATTTTAACGGGGATAATCTTAATGAAAGTTGTAGTAGACTCAAAAAATGAACACGTGGATAAAGATCCTTAAAATCTGATATCGTATGAAGAAGTTACGATGTTCAAAATACAAGACCTAAGCCAAACCACAAGACTTACGCAACCAAGCGGTCTAGATCACATTGGACATAAACATCAACAACCCCAAGCACCTCATCAATGATTGTCTCACGTAAGATGTCGTGAAAAAAACCTAAAGAAATCATTCATAAGTACTGAATGAGTACAAAAAAAAGGACTTATTTTGAAACAAAAAAAAATGTTAAGGACTAAATATGTACAAAAATGTTAAGGACTAAATGTGTACAAAATGAAAAATATATTACCCTATCAAGTCATTTTTCCCGGCTAACCTGGAGTAACAGGTCATAAGGACTGAATGTGTACAGTTTAACAAGTTTAAGGGGTAAATGTGAACGAAAAAAAAAACTCAGTGACCAAATGTGTACAAATCGAATAATATGTTACCCTTTTAAGTCATTATCCCCTCACGAAATCATGTTATAATCCCATAAAATCAAGGGTTAATGACCTAGAAAGGTAACGAACTTTGGTCTTTGTCCACATTTAGATAACCATGTTTTTTTCGTTCACATTTGACCATTGAACTTGTTTGACCTGTTCAAAAATAGGGTAATATGACCGGTAATTAGCGGTAACATTACCCTATTATGTACAGGTCAAACAAGTTTACTGGTCAATTGTGTACGAAAAAAATATGGTTACCTAAATATGGACAAAAACCAAAGTTCCTTACCTATTTTGGTAATATTAGGTTCTTTATGTTAAGTGCAAGTAGTCATAAGATCCATTGATGTGAAATAAAATTGGGTTGTCCGGTCTTGTGTATGAGGAGATGGTTAAGTCTTGGACCAACTCGGTTTAGGCCCAGCTAGTTAGGGGTTAGGTTGTATACGCTTAAGGGGTTAGGTTGTATGTGTTTTAAAGACCAAGCAACACAGCCTAGCTCATGACTAGCCAGGACTAAACTGGGTTAGACCAAGCCTAACCTAATTGTTCATTGACTGTCGGAGCCTGATCCCAGGGCACACAGTCCCTAAGATGGTTCTTGTCCAATATTACCAAGACGGGTAAGAAACTTTGGTTTTTGTTCGTATTTAGGTAACCATATTTTTTTCGTACACATTTGACCAATAAACTTGTTTGACTTGTTCATAATAGGGTAATATTACCGTAATTAACAGTCATATTACCCTATTTTGAACAGGTCAAACAAGTTCAATGGTCAAATGTGAACGAAAAAAACATGGTTACCTAAGTGTGGACAAAGACAAAAGTTCGTTACCTGTCTAGGTCATTAACCCTACAATCAACATTCCGTTCTCAAAATTCTATAAATAAACAACTGTTGAAAACCTAATCAAGTTAAATGCTTTAAATTATTAGATACGTACACTGTACAAATTATGTAAAAAAAATATTTGTTTGCATGATTAATGATTGTTATTCTTATAGTCTTTATGTTGTTTTATTAATGTCAACCAATCGTGTAGTACACTGGTTATCACCTAGTTATATAATATATTAAAATCCGTCTCGACTTATTAACAATATTTTTAAGCCGATTTTTATTTTTGTTTGTCACCTTTAGAGCTGGGCAAATTCCGTCCATGTAACAACACATGTGTTTCCTTAGTGCTTCATTGGAAAATGATTCATCATCTCCTAGTTTTTATCTTGACGACACACGTCTATCTTACATCGTTGAAAGTTTTTATTGTGTAAAGTACGTATTTCCCCAAATTCTCTCATGCTTCAATCCTTTCACCTATGTCAGTCGTGAGCCCTAAAACACCACCCTTCATCGGTTTTAGGGATGCAAAAGCTATCCGTCGCAGTATATTGATCACTAGGCGAATATTCGCGCGTTGCGCAGAATAGAATTATATAGTTAAGATTTTTATAATCATCTGTTATTGAAAATAAGATATAGTGCAAAATTAAACGGATAGAAAACACCATATTATTATTTTTATTAACATAAGAAAGGTTCTGATACAATATAATGTTATACAATTAAGTATTTAATATTATTCATTTAATTGAGTAAAAGCAATTTAAGTATTTCAACCTTATATAATTGAGTACCATAAAAATGTCAAAAACTTTTAAATTCTAGCGATTAAATGCTAAAATAGGTGAATATTCGTACGTTGCACGAAATAAAATTATATAATTATTTTTTTTGGTAATCATATGTTATTGAAAATATTTATGTCATTAATATTAACTATAAAATAATAATTATAACATTTAGTTGATGTAAAATTATAATTAATTTGAACAATTGATAAAATAACACTTATTAAAATCAAATCATTTAATGATCTCTACGCACGCTTTATTTGTGCATAAAATTAATTATATTTCTTAACTACTTTAATTACTTTTATGATTTATTAATTAAAAAAATTGATGATGTTTTTATTTCACCATTATGATTATTTAAATTATCAACCACAGTTTATATATAACATAATCGAACTTATAACTTTATGTTATTTTTAACTATTGTTATTATAAATTATTTTGAAAACAACTTAATTAAATTTTAGTTATTATAAAAAATAGTTTTTGGGCATCTTTTAGTTATTTCGACTTTCAGATTTAGGTTGTTTTACATTTATCGTATTTAACATTTTCCTTTTAACTATTTAAAAATATATATATTTAAAGCTTTTTTTGATATTATATTTTAAGTTTTAAATTTTACACTATATTTTAAATTTTATTTAGTATATTAGTATATGTTATGTGTTGCGCAAAATACAACAATATATTTGAAATATTTACAAATATACGTTTTTTACATATATCAATGATGTTGTTGTTAGCTCTTATATAATAAATCTTATATTAAGTTGGTATGAATATTATTTGTTTTGAATTATATGATAATATATATCTTTTAAAATTTTGTAATCTTAATGACCTCTATCTACAGGTTACTCATTATAAAACTAAATATTATATATGGTTTAATGATATTTATAGTTGTTGTTATGATTAACTAATTTTTTAAATTTTTTTGCTTAAAATTTTTAATTTCTATCATTGTCATTATTTAAAAAATTAAACATTGTTTTTGTTTTTAAAGGTAACAATATAATTTTTGTATATAATATTGCTTTTAAATGTTGTTGTTGTAAGTTATTTAAAAGAATGTATTTATAAACTCTTAATTATATTACTCTGGTTTCAGAAATTTAGCTTTTTAAAAATTTATTTGATGAATATTGTTAGTTTTTTTATTGTAATAATTTAAAACAACAAACATTGTTTTTATTTTTAAAGATAACATTATAATTTTTTTATATAATATTATTTTTAATGTAACAACATAATTTTTCAACCAAAAAGTTAATTTTTAATTTCATAAAAACACTGGTACCACTGCCTCCCGGGTTGTGGCGCGTACCCATCATGATGTCTCTGAAACACAACATAAAATCATCAAAGACTCGCTCGAGTATACTCACACTCGATCACTCGCCCCTACTTTCTCCTTAGCATCCTAAGGATTCTTACTTGGGCTGTTTACTGATCCGGTGCTTTCAGTAGTACTGGCCCAATACTACCTTCCACACTGCATCAACACCCACCCCAAGTCCTCCTCCTAGGATTCCATATTGCAATTACTCTATGCCTTTCCAGGCAAAGGCCACTCTCTAGTAGACCTCTCATAAGCTCCTCTATGCTACCTACTCGCACTCAAACAACTCACGGTAGCAGTAACTCCTAGGCTAAGGCATCACAAATCAGGCCACTCTAGACCTAAGATATGAAATACCTAGCCTACTCTCTAGCATTCATAATATCTCATAATCATCTCATAGATATTTCTTGACACATAAAGTAAGGGTATTTTGGGAAATCACCGTT